CCATCTTTATGAATTCGGATGACGGGCTCCGAATCGCCAAAAATTTTGTGGGCCCATCAGAAACGACCTAATGAACAATATTTGTAACGACCCAACCAATCATTTTGACTTTTAGAACCATATTCCCTTAGATAAAACTCCCCATATGTGATTTTATAAATTTATGACTCGCGGGGATGGTTGGTTTGGGATTTAGAACTGTTCGGGTTAAAATCGGAACACTTAGTTCCTTAGTTTGGTTTTAAAAGGCCAAGTTTGACTTCGGTCAATATTTTTAGAAAATGACCTTGGAATTGGGATTTGATAGTTCTAATAGGTCCTTATGACGATTTTGGATTTGAGCATATGTTCGAATCAGGTTTTGGACAAACCGGGAGCATTTCAAGGCTTGATAGTGAAAACTAGCTATATGAAGGTTTTAAGGTTCTTTAAATTTGGTTTGGAGTAGGTTTTGGAGTAATCGAGGTCTTTTTGAAATTTCGAGCCTAATAATAGTTTCATATGGTGATTTAAGACTTGCACGCAAAATTTGGTGTCATTCCGAGTAGTTTAAGTATGTTTCGGTGCGTTCAGAGTAAGTTTAAAGAATTTTGTAATTCTAAGTTGAATCATTTGGTTTGAGGTATGATTCTTAGTTTTGATATTTTTTTACACGTTCCAAAGGTTCGAGCGAGTCCCTTTCATGATTTCAAACTTGTCAGTATGTTCGGGCAGGCCCCGGGGGCCTCGAGTGTTAACCGGGCGAGGCTCGGACCAAGTTTGAATTTAGGAGAAAAGCTTTCAGCTTTCAGCTTTTGGTGCGATCACACCTGCGCATGGCCAGTCGCAGGTGCGAGCTTGCAGGTACGAACCAAGAGTCGCAGGTGCGAAGAGGGGGAGGGAAGACCATGCACCACAGGTGCATAATTCTTGGGCGCACCTACGAGCACGCAAGTGCGAGAAGGAATTTGCAGGTGTGAGCATTTGCGCAGAAGCGGACGCCTGGACGCACCTACGGTAGCGCAGAAATGACCCATTTGTCCGCAGGTGCGGTGCTAGGACAAGAAGGAAAATCTCGCACCTGCGAGGCTTTTTTCGCAGGTGCGGTTGTACCTCCGTAGGTGCGAAAAAGGCTGTTGGTCATAATGTTAAAAGGGGTGAGGGTTAGTCATTTTAGCCAGTATTTCCTCTATATTTGGGCGATTTTGGAGCTTTTTGAGAGGGGATTTCAACTTGTAACTTGAAGGTAAGTTAATTTTACACACTTTAATTTAAATACATAGATTATGGGTAGATTATAACCTGTAAATCGTAGAAATCAATGGTTAGATAAAAACCTAGGTTTTGATAAAAATGAGATTTTAACCACGAAAATGGTTATGAAATTGGATGGAAATTATATATTTGAGTTCTTGAGATTATGGGTAACGATTTCCTCTGAAAATTTCTTGAATCCCGGCACGTGGCTCCGGGGTAAAATTTAGGAATTTTACCATTTTGGGTCGGGTAATTAATTTAATAGTCTAGTTTCCAATTATTGAACATGTATTTATTGTTTTGTATAACATTTGGATAGTTTTGGATTTTTCGGCATCGAATTGAGACTTTAACGCGGCGTTGTGGACTTTGAGACAAAGTAAGTCTCTTGTCTAACCTTGTAAGAGGGAATTTACCTCATAGGTGATTTAAATCTATTGATTTTATGGTGAGATTGAGAGTAAAAGCACGAAGGGTGATGCCGTGCATTTTTCCTTACTATATTCACTATTCCTGTTGATTCATGGTATATTGACTGCTCCGGTGATCATTTTGTTGTAGTTCTTTATCTCGTATTCCCCTCAGTATGTTCCCCTCCCGATATTTTCTGTCTAGTTTTTCATTTCTGCTATTTGTATATACNGAAGGGTGATGTCGTGCCGTTTCTATTAATTTTATGGTGAGATTGAGAGTAAAAGCACGAAGGGTGATGCCGTGCATTTTTCCTTACTATATTCACTATTCCTGTTGATTCATGGTATATTGACTGCTCCGGTGATCATTTTGTTGTAGTTCTTTATCTCGTATTCCCCTCAGTATGTTCCCCTCCCGATATTTTCTGTCTAGTTTTTCATTTCTGCTATTTGTATATACTCTGTTAAATTGTACAGGTTGATTCGTAGGTGCCTTGCCTTAGCCTCGTCATTACTTCGTCGAGGTTAGGCTCGACACTTACCAGTACATGGGGTCAGTAGTACTGATATTGCACTCTACACTTTCTGTGCAAATTTTGATATCGACTCGGGTTGATCGAGATTTTTGCTATTGGTCCGCTGTCCGGAAACTCAAGGTAGATCTGTCGGCGTTCACAGACATTGAAGTCCCCGTCTATCTTTTCTGTTCTATTGTTTCTTTCATTCAGACTGTTGTATTTCTTCAGACTATTACTTGTAGTAAATTCTCTAATGTTGGCTTGCCTAGCAAGTGAAATATTAGGCACCATCACGGTCCCGTCGGTGGGAAATTTCGGGTCGTGACAGAGACCATGGTCACGAACGCGGAGCACTGGGGGGTATGCTCTTCGCTAACGCGACCACTTAATCGTGAACGTGTAGTGTTAGAAAGGCGGTGGCTGGGAAATGGACTTACTCTACGCGAACGCGAGCCCAGGATCGCGAACGTGTAGAGTAATTCGCGATCACGTAAGCCATCTAGGCAATGCCCTTTGTGAATGCGTAAGGTGTCTCGCTAACGCGATGAACGCCTGACGCCTAGTCATTTAAATTTCTAAAAGACGGGATTTCACCCATTTTTTACCATCTTTCCATTTGAGCTCGGCCTAGAGGCAATTTTGAAGAGAAAATTCATCACCAATTCATAGCTTAGTATACTTTAACTCATTTTCTTCCATTTCTAGCATCACCCATTAACTTCTAGCCTTAATCTTTGTTCATCCATGGTAGATATGGATTTAGGAAGAATTGGGTTTTTTTTTGAAAATTCGGGATTTAGACCTCAATTTGGGATCGTATTTCGAAACTAATTTCATAATTGGGATCGGGAGTGAATGGATAAATGGGTTTTGGTCCGAATCTCGAGTTTTGACCAAGCAACCCGGGTTGATTTTTTTTTTTACTTTTTGGGAAAAGTCTAAAAATCCTAACTTTATGTATTGTAATTAATTCCCTTAGCATTATTTGATGATATCGAGTCGATTTTGGTTAGATACGATTGATTTGGAGGCGGATTCTAGAGAAAAGGCCCCGGTAGAGCTCTGAGTTGGGTTGTTTTTTTTTTTTTTTGACTTTTTGGGAAAAGTCTAAAAATCCTAACTTTATGTATTGTAATTAATTTCCTTAGCATTATTTGACGATATCGAGTCGATTTTGGTTAGATACGATTGATTTGGAGGCGGATTCTAGAGAAAAGGCCCCGGTAGAGCTCTGGGTTGATTGCGAAGTGAGGTAAGCGTCGTGGTTAACTTTGACTTGAGGGATTAAGATTTGTTTGCCTATTTGCTACGTGTTTAAATTTGTGGGTACAACGTATATATGAGGTGACGAGCACTTATGCTTTATTGCTGGGTTAAAAGCATGCGGGTGAAACTTGTTTCCTTGTGATTTATTGCTCTCTTTAATTAAGACATCCATGCTTAGATTAGATTATTATTTACTTGACCGTTCTTTCCGCATTTATGTATTAATTGTGATGGTTGAGTATTTTTGAAAGTTGAGGTTTGACATCTTGGAACCATTATTGAGCGTAAGGTTTATTCTTGCATTATCTATCTCCCAAGTAAATTGTATGCCATTTTAAACAATTCAAGTAAATAAAACTCATTTAAACTGAAATAAAACTGGAATGTTGTACGAAAAGGTAAAATAACTAAGAATATCTAAGTACAATCACAGATTTGGAGTCATAAGTGCACGAGCTATTAAAAGTTCTACAAATAGAGTCTGAAATACAACTGTATCGAATGAAATGAACAGTAAATGAGGAAAAAGGAAGGGGACGCCAGCAGATCTACCTCGAGTCTCCAAATGAGATAATCCGAGCTGATGCACCTCACATACAACCGGGACCAATACCCAAATTTGTATAAGAAGTAGAGAGTGTGATATGAGTACAATTGACCCAATGTACTCCGTAAGTGTCGAGCCTAACCTCGACAAGGTAGTGACGAGACTATGACAAGACACTCACGTAATTAAACCTGTACTAACATAGATATATGTACAATATGGTAACAAATAGAGATTTAATACGTACAATTGGGAGGGAACATGAAAAAGGGGAACAAGATACGATAATACAACAGGACCGATAACATAAGACAGTCAAATAAATCATCAACCAATGAAAACGGATAAACATAATGAATAAAGACGGCACGACATCACCCATCGTGCTTTTACTCTCAACCTCACCATGAAACGATAATAATGGCACGGCATCACCCTTTGTGCTTTCTCCATGAATCGATAAATATGGCACGGCATCACCCTTCGTGCTTTTACTCTCTTCCTCACTATGCATTAATCAATTAATGAAGCAATAAGCGGCACGACATCACCCTTCATGCTTTAACACTCTCCCTTACCATGCAGTAAGGGAATAAAATGTTAGGCGTCATCACGGTCCCGAAGGTGGGAATTCCAGGTCGTGACAATTATACGATATATTGATTTAACAACAATGTAAATTGATTATATTGAAGTTACTTTATGTGTTGGTCGTATCAAAATATTATTTCCGTGGTTATTCTTTTTTGTATTCTACCCGATGTCAGGTACCCATAATGGTGTCCGACTAAACTGAATTTGTGAAGCGTAAGACCCTTTAAACTTACTAGAATGTTTTTTTTCGGTTTTAAAACTCGAGATGCTAATTAAGGGTGAAAGAATCATATTCATCTCACCACAATTGTGGGTGGTCCTTGGTACACCGATAGTAGATGCCTCAAACGAGGGGATTTTACTTTATATATGTGCTAAGTTAAATTAAAAAATTTGTTTGAAAATTCAAAGCCTTAATNACATTTGCTCAACAGACTATATTAAATGTTTTGTTGACCATTTGAAATTTGACAATTTATTTTTATCTTTCTCTTCTTACTACATTTATTGACAGATGATCAAAATCTGCATTTGCAATTCAAATATCTAAATTAATCTGATTATAAGATAAGCGTGTATTAAATTCACAATATTCTTTTCTCCAATATAAATAGGGGCCACTACCTCATAACCTTTGCAAATTAAGGTTGTGAGCAAATTAAGCAAAGAAAATCAATGGCTTCTTCTTTCACTATTACCTCATTTCTTGTATCTTTTTTTCTATCCATTCTCTTCACATCAACAATTGTGAAGGGAGATTTAGTTAGTGATATTTGCGCCAAAACACCCAATGCTACTCTTTGCGAGACACTTTTAAGATCAGATCCTCATTCTAAAACCGCAGATCTTGAAACCCTAGGCGCGATCACGTTCAACATGACTTCCAAACTTATCGACTCAACATCCGCTCTGGTAACTTCTCTTCGCGATAACGCGACGAACGCAACACTAAAAGAAGTATACTCAAAGTGTATTGACCAATATGCATTTGTAGAACTAAGTAGGGAAAATGCAGAGGGTTATTTTAAGGACAAAAAATGTGGACAAGTTGTCCATTTTATGAGTCGTTCAATTGGTGATTTATTGACATGTGATAGTAGCTTTTTTGAACATTCAGTGGTTGAAGATGAGAAGCTACAACAAGCTAGTTTTTCGTTGGAACAATATTGCAGTGCTATTATTGTTATGGCTGTTCGTCTCTAGACGATAAAAAATCTTAGAATTTTTCACAAATTTGTTAAGAGCTATAATATAAATTATATTAGCTCCTTATGTTTATGTTAATTTCTCGGTTCTTGTAATCTGGCCAAAAGAAGTGTGATCTCAATCAAGTCCATGCTAATTTAGACATTTTTTTAAATGTCTAAATTTGTTTTTAAAAATCCTCTTAATATCTTAAATCCTAAGCCATCCCCCATAAAAGGAAGCCCTTTATCTCTTAAAAAATTGGTCATCAGCTCCAATTTTACCATCGTGTAAAGTGATCTCTTAATCCTTAGCGCTCATCTAAAGTTCAGACTTTTAACCATGGTGAAAAGTCTAAATTACTAATTTTGTCGTACGACTAAGCAGAGGCGAATTCAAAATTTAAACTTAATAGGTTCATTTTTAATATTTTCAGTATTAAACTCATTATACTGTTATAATTATGGGCTCAATTATAAGATTAGTTGAGACTTTAATAAGATTTTACAGACTCTGTATCGAAGGTTATGAGTTCAAACGAACCCATAGCCGATAGGCTACATTTGCCCTTGCGTCTGAGATCCAAAGTTAGCCATCGTAGTGGACAAAGCCCACTACCCGTTTATTAGGTCCTAGTCGCAAGGGTGGATCCAGTGTAGCGGTGCCAGGTTCATATTAACTCAATACTTTTGACGTAAAGCATGAATTTATGTGTAAAAATCATTTAAAATAGGAACAAATAATTGATATGAACCCATAACTTTAACAATATAATGGGTTCAATACTAAGTTTTTTAAAAGTTGAACCTATAAAATTCAAATTCTAGATCCGCCTCTATCAAGTTAATCATATAGTTTTTTTTAAATCATTATACCATCTTACAATTCATCTATCACACATACACATATAGCTCATTAAAATAACAATAACAAATTTAATCTAGCAGTAATTAATAAATGGACCTTAGAGCTAACTTAATTGCAAAAGCTAACTTAAGACGTGATGAATGCCTATGACCATATAAGGAGTCTAAAAAATCTACATCTCGTAGATGTGGGACTCAACACCCCTCCCCTCTCTTCACAGGAGGATTGCCTAAGACCATAAAAGGAGCCGAGGAAATCCACCCCGTGGGACTCAACAATAATAAACTAGTTTCTTATAATGTTTGTACATTTCAATTGCAACCGTGGAAAGCGCCCATCGAAAATTAATTATAGTCAGACCTCTCTGTAACAACATTCCTATATAATAGTCATTCACTATAAAGGCCAAGTTTTTCTGAGAATCGATTTTTATGTTATGTTATAATAAATGTCCTCTATAACAAAACTTCACTATAACAGCTAAAAAATATCGGAACAAACAAGACTGTTATAAAGAAGTTTGACTGTATAACTTATCATAAACTGTCGATAAAACCGTCAAATTAAATGGCAACATATTATTTTACCGTCGATACACTCCGTCGAGAATTTCAGAAGTTTTAGTAGTGTAACCATATGATTTACATATTTAATGGTTGGAAATTAAGCAACACTTTTGAATTTAAATTTGTTGGTAAAATAACGTTAGTTAAATTAGTACTGTAATAACCACCTTCCAAGTAATAATATTTATCGATCGAATTCAAAGAAATTTCATTTGAGGCTCCATTATGAAAAGAAGAAAATACGATTAGCAAATTAGGATGCCACTACCCATCAAAAGAGCTACTAATTAATTTATATTATAGCGCATCACAAAATTGTAATTTTTCTTCTTTTTTTTTAGATTCTGGAAAACTGCTGTCACATGCATGTAAATCACCCATTGAAAGAAACATAGAACTAAATACCTCTCCATATTTTTTGTTCAAGGAATTAAAGATGCCTTGGCAATTTCTTTATTCATTTCTAAAAAATAATAATACGACGAACACGACTTTTAACGTTGGATCCTTCGCGTTATAGATGTGAAGAGGATGGATAGAAGTAAAGATACAAGAAATGAGGTAATAATGAAAGAAGAAGCCATTTAATTTCTTTAATTACTTTGGTTACAACCTTATAAGCAAAGGTTATTGATGTAGTGACCCCTATTTATATTGGAGGAAAAAATATTGTTAATTAAATTTTTATCAATAAAAGTAACTACTACTCCCTCCGATCCACAATAAGTGACCAATTTGTCTTTTTATTTTGGTCCAAAATAAGTGTCCATTTATATAACCAAGAAAACATTCAATTTATTTTTCCAAAATTACCCTTATGTACGTATCCCAAAAAAGTCTTTTACTCCTCGTATTAAATTATGCTGCAACATTTAATTAAGGGTAGTTTAGTCACACCAACTATTTTTGTCTAGAATTTAGTATTTTTTTAATGGGTTTGCCCAAGGCAAATTGATCACTTATTTTGGATCAGAGGAAGTAGATTTTATCATTAAATGTAGTAAGAGGAAACAGAGGAAAATATATTTTCAAACTTCAAATGGTACTAGTACAAGAAATACAGTTTATGATTGGAACATTCCGTCGATACAATATATTTAAAATTCATTTAATACATTATTTTTTTCTTATCGATAATTTTAGTAGAAAAAAGTTTCCAATGACTTTTCAATGGAAAATCTGTCAAAATATTTCATCCACATTTTGCGCTAATTGGTGGGGCGAGGTGTTTGGGGGTAGGGAAGAGATAATGTCTATAATGGAATTTTTTTTTTTTTTTTGAAAATATTTTTCTTCGTACCAAAGACGCCCTTGACACAAGAAAGAAACCAATATTTTTCGACTGTCACAATTAGTTACTCTCTCTGTCTCAATTTATGTGCCACTTTTCATTTTTCGAGATTCAAATTTCCTAATTTTGATTGTGTATATTTGAACATCTAATTCTTAAGTTTTTTGAAATAAAATTTATATTTTTGAAAACTACATAAAAAATACTATAAGTTACAATAATTATTAATTTAAATATATAAAAATTTATGGTCAAAGAATAACTTGTTTGACTCTCAAAATCCAAACACCATCACGTAAATTGGGACCGAGGGATTGCTAGTATACCTAGGGGCGTATACACCTTGTCTTATGCGGTGTCACGAGAGACCGCTTTGTCGAATGTTTTTACTAGTTATGTATAAGAGAAGCAAAAATATTGAGGATAAATATAGAAAATAATACCGCTTACAATACAATAAGTTATTTATTTGTTCAGTTCTTCAAATTGTGACACCGCTTATGAAAAATCTTGAGTACGACACTGAGCATACCTTTACTTAGAGTGTGAAGGCAACAAGAAGAAAAAAGAGCAAAAAGGACACTGAAATTGGCCTTTGAAACATGCAATTGGCTCCATTCTTTTTAGGTCCTTTACGAAGAAGGTCTGCTCCACCATATACTCCTCTTCTCTGATGAACAACTTTATGCACATCCTTACTTTCTTCTTCGTTGTTCTTTCTACTTGTTAATTCAACCAATGTATCATTTGTAACTGCACACACAAAGAAAATCAAGAACTTATCGAACAGAGTTGCCTTGGTTAGGGAACTTTTAACTTTCAATGTGTGATTTCTGATCTTGAATCCAGATTTAATCGTCTCAATATAAGTGCCGGACACCGACCCGAAACCAAGAGATAAATAAAAAATTTATCGAATGATCAAACAAGCAGCTAGTTACTCTTAAGTAGTAGTATCTTGAATCAAAATCCTTTATATCTAAGGACATTTTTTTTATTATGATCAATTAATAGGTAATTATCAAATAATTAACAACAACTAGTATTTTTACTATTCCTCAATGGCAAGCAAATTAAGGAAACTCATCTGAGACCAGTATTATATATACAAAACAAAAATGTTATAGTGAAATTTTAAAAATTCCATTGGACATATACATGGGTGTTAGTTGAAAATAAATTTTCATATATAATAATCAAACACTAATAATGGTTAATTAAATTAAAAACTAACCTCAACAAAAAAATGAAGAGAGGGGACAGGGGCTTGGGATGATGTTAGGAGATTATATTAGAGACAAAAAACTTACTCTTTTCCTTGTTTTCATTCTGCAAAATGAGTTTATGATTTGTAGATTTTGGGATAAAAGTACAAGTGGAGTATTGCAATGTTTGCAAGAATAAAGTGAGGCAAAGCCATGAAACTAATACAAGAACCTTCATGGCTATTTTTGTAAAATTAGTTCTACCTAAGAGTTAGTAAAGGATTTTAAGGGCTATTTATAAAGATTTGTATTTAAATGTCCAAAGAATCTTTAAAAGTTTGGCAAAAGAATTTTTCTTAGTGCTGCCAATGTGCTAGCTAGGAAAACACAATTGGAACGATGGAAATTAATTAGATTTTGAATTAACTTTAGGGGCTGTTTTTGAAAATGCAAAAAACTAATATAAAATGAAGGCCAAACTCATATAGCTCATTCAACTTGACTCCATTTTTTATTTTGACATTTTATTTTAACCTTGTTTCATTTTGTCCCTCCAACTTTATTTCTTATATTTCATTTTAACACAAAAGCTGAAACCAATACAAAAAAATATAGCGCGTGTGTATACACAAATTTGAGGTGTAATAAATATCCAATTAAATGTTGCCACCTGATTTTTTCATCCTTTATTTCATGTAAGCTTGAAGTTTGAAGTGAATCCATGTCTCAAAGAAAATTATTTTTTCATAATGGAATGGATATTTGTTCTTGTGAATTTTAAGTTGAACTAAAAGTAGCATGGAGACCAAGAAATCCAAGAAATCCAAGAAATCCGGGTCGGGTATTTTAGTATTGACCCGTTTGACAAGGATGAACAACTTTTAATTGGATATTTATTACACCTCAAATTTGTGTATATACACGCGCTATATTTTTTTTGCACTGATTTCAACTTTTGTGTTAAAATGAAACATAAGAAGTAGAGTTGAGGGCCAAAATGGAACAAGGTTGAGATAGAGTGCTAAAATGAAAAATTAGACATGGGATGTATATGTATTTGGCCTAAAATGAATCAAAATACTATTTAAAAAGTAGCCGAACAGAAATGTTATTCCTCTTTCCTACACATGTATGGTGGAAAACTAAAAGCATAATAGGGCCATTTTTGAGAATCTAATTCTCATTTACAAATCAAATTGTCCTAGTCGTTAAAACTGCTAATCAAGAAATTTATAAGATATTTACTAGTTATTTAATGGAATTATCAAATACTCCATTCTTTTCGGTTTACGTGACATTTGAAATTTACGGTTTTAAACATGCGATGACATTTGTGTGACTATAAAATCATGTACTAAAGATAAATAAAAAGATTAAAGTTAAATTATTTTAAATATAAAAATGTCATTTCATTTTAAACGGACTAAAAAAAATAATATCACATAAATTAGTTGATCCTTAAATTAAAAAAAGTAGGCATTCAATTATTTGTTTATGTTTTAACAGTTTTTTTAACAAATTAATAAAATTGGTGATTTCTAAATGGAGGACACAATTAAAAGAGTATAGATTTATTTTGAAGAGATAAGGTCATGAAAATAAAAGAATTGATTCCCAACAGTCTTATAGTAAAAAGGAGATTTAGATTGATAATGGAATCCTTTTGTGCACCATATTTACTAAATCTAATGTCATATTCCAAAGTACATGACTTGCTTTATTCCTTTCGTTTGCTCATAATTCAAGGTATTTGGCAGATAATTTATTTTCATTTAATTTAATGTGGTTTACTTTAACGGGATTGGATCCCTTCCGGCACTACTTTGCCCATTAATTTTCAATAGTGTTCGATATGTGCCATGTGGACAACAGATAACCAATAGTTTGGCCCTAAAACACCAAAAAGTAAGAAACGGTCATGATAAAGTAATGATTATTGTTCATTAGGTCGTTTCTGATTGCCCACAAAATTTTAAGCGATTCGGAGTCCGTCACCCAAATTCACAAAGACGACGTGGACATTAACATACGAAAAATCGGAAATTGTCTTGAATTCCTATTTTTTCATATTTTATAGCCCTAAAATGCCAAAAAACGAGGAATGATCAAGAAGAAACTATAATTATTGTTCATTAGGCCGTTTTCAATAGGCTCACAAAATTTTAGACGATTCAAAGCCCGTCGGCCGAATTCATGATGATGGCGAGGACATTAGCACATAAAATATTAAAAATCGTTCTGAATTTCCGTTTTATGGCAAAAAAATGTTAAAAATGAGAAACGTTCATAGCGAAGCAATGATTATTATTTACTTGATCATTTCTAATGGCCCCACAAAATTTTAGGCGATTCGAAATCAGTCACCCAAATTCATGAAGATGGTGTGGACATTAGCACGCAAAAAATAGTCCAAAGTCTGGATAGTTAGCTCTCGCCCTTCCGGTAGAAAAACGTCGATGAAGGCGTGTAGGTGCACTATTTCGTGATGGGGATTGTAACTTTCCATAAATTTTTCATTTGTCACTCAATGACGGAACCTTGCTTATTTCTTTTTTTGAGGATCGACGAATCGAATGATATTATTGTTCCAATTTTTGCCTCTTTTTTCCCCTCTGAATCAAACTTTTCCTTATCATAGTGGTTGAATTCCTATTATCCATGAAACAAGTCGAATCCTAGATATAGAAATAGAAGAAGGTAGACCCCCTCTCCGTCGAATGCTACATGTAGAAATCGTCCTGAATTCCAGTTTCATGCCCCTAAAATGTCAAAATGAAGAACGGTAATAGCTAAGCAATGATTAATGTTCATTAGGTCATTTTCAATGGGCAAGAAAAGTTTTAGATAATTCGGAGACTATCGCCCAAATTCGTGAAGATGTCGTGAACATTAGCACACAAAAAATTAAAAATCGTCCTGAATTCCTATTTTGTGACCCTAAACGACAAAAATAAGATATGGCAAGGCAATGAATATTGTCACGACTCAATTTCACCTATAAGTCGTGATGGCGCCCAACCTTACGGTTATGCCAACCAACTAGTGAATTAAACATAAACTTATTTCTTTAACAATAATCCGAGTAATTAAACTCTTCTTGTTTGCAAGAATTAAGAAAATATGGAAATCTAGTTTAAATAAAAATCAAGAAAATAATTCAAACCCCAATTCTACCGATGTGTGTGCCAAGACCTGATGCCACAAGTGTATGAGCATTTAGTAGATTATACAAAAGAAATCCAAAATACTGCCTAAATACAAAATAGACAGAAAACAAATACAAAGGGAGACACTAGATGCTGTGGAACGGCTCAGGAGAAGCAGCTCTCCGCTAGCCCTCACGATAACGTGGGTGCATACCGGTAAGACCGCCTAAGGTTCCTGTCTCGGATCCTGCACAAAAAGTGCAACAAGCATAGTATGAGTACATAAATAACGTGTATCGAGTAAGTATCAAGTCTAATTTCGAAGAAGTAGTGACGGGAGGTCGACTTTGACACTCACTATGGGTCAATAATATTACAATAGAAATATTTAAATAAACATTATTTATGTGAACAACAATAATTTCCTTAACAAGCAAAAATAATAATTCTTTCAATTTCAATAATTTTTAATTTATCAATTAGCTTCACAAGCTGCAATAAAATATCAAGGTATCCTCTAATTATTATTATTAGGCACGATTTCTGTCGAGGTCGTTCGGCCCAATTCAGAGTGTCGTGTACACTGCCGAGGGACGTGCGGCGCAATCCATAGATGCATCTATACTGTCGAGGAATTCGGCCCGCTCCACAAGAAAGTAGAATATTTTCTTATGAACCTCCGGAATAAGAAGATATTATAAGATTAACACATAAGGATATAAAATTTCCATTAACAGTCAAATATTTTGCACATAAGTTCAAGTATGTGAAATTTAAGTCTTTTACTATTTCCTCTAACAATTTACAATATAATTTTAATACTTAAATTAAATAAGGGATATAATTTTAAAAGGTAATTCATGATTTGAGTCCTAAACTATCCGGACATAGCATAATTAGTAGCTACGCACGAACTCTCGTCACCTCGTACCTACGTAGCCCCCACAATTAGCCACAATTATTAATTTAAATCACATATGAGGTAAATTCCCTCTTACAAGGTTAGACAAGAGACTTACTTTGTCTCAAAGTCCACTTCCCAATCAAAACGCCGTGTTAAAGTCTCAATTCGATACCGAAAAATCCAAAACTATCCAAATGTTATACAAAACAATTAATACATGTTCAATAATTGGAAACTAGACTATTAAATTAATTACCCGACCCAAAATGGTAAAATTTCTAAACTTCACCCCGGGAACACGTGTCGAGATTCAAAAAAGTTTCAGAGGAAATCATTACTAATAATCTCAAGAACTCAAATATATAATTTTCATCCAATTACATAACCATTTTCGTGGTTAAAATCTCATTTTTATCAAAACCTAGGTTTTAATCTAACCCTTGATTTCCACGATTTACAGGTTATAATCTACCCATAATCTATGTATTTAACTCAAAGTGTGTAGAATTAACTTAGCTTCAAGTTGCAAGTTGAAATTCCCACTCAAAAAGCTCCAAAATCGCCCAAAAATAGAGGAAATACGGACTAAAAACGACTGAGCCTCGCCCCTTTTAACATTCTGTCCAACAACCTTTTTCGCACCTGCGGAGGTACAACTACACCTGCAGAAACAGCCTCGCAGGTGCGAGATTTTTCTTCTTGGCCTGGCACTGCACCTGCGGACAAAGGGGTCACTTCTACGCAACCGCAGGTACGTCCAAGCGTCCACTTCTGCGCAAATGCTCGCACTTGTGCATTCCCTCTCGCACCTGCGTGGTCGCAGGTGTGCCCAAGAATTCCACACCTGCGGTGCATGGTCTGCCCTCTCCTTCTTCACACCTGCGACTTGTGGCTCGCACCTGCAAGCTCGCACCTGCGACTTCCCATGCGCAGGTGCGATCGCACTAGAAGCTGAAAGCTGAAAGCTTTTCTCCCAAATCCAAACTTGGTCCGAGCCTCGTCCGGTTAACACCAGAGGCCCCCGGGGTCCCGCCCGAATATACCAAAAAGTTTGAAATCATGAAACGGATTCTCTCGAACTCTCATAATGTGTAAAACAACATTAAAACGAAGAATCATACCTCAAACCAATTGATTCAACTTAGAATTTTCAAATTCTTCAAACTTACTTCGAACGCGCCGAAACATACTTAAACTACTCGGAATGACACTAATTTTTGCGTGTAAGTCT